CTTAAATCATATTTCAATATATTCTCGTATTTACAGCACACATATAAATACCGTGGAATCAACAGGTGCATATGATCCATGTTCTAATCCGGTCATAAGTAACTTAAAAATTAGATGTTGCAGTTTTTCAACCCTGCCCTTTAAGAATTTAATATTGTCTATGCATACGTGTGATACTAATTGAAGTTATTTATGAGTTCATAAAGAGAGTCTGCAGTACAGCTCGATGCTACTGAGTATTCATGCATCGTCAGGAGGTTACTGCAATCACAACTCTCATCCAGCTTAACTGTAGCAAGTAAATATTTATTTTGATTTACACATCCATTTCAATTTTGGAACCATACAACTAATAAATAATTAAATTAGAAATCAGATGATGTCTTCTTTTTACAAAATACCGTAATAGAATTTCTTCCGTAGGGCAACAAGCTAAATTAATAATCTTTACTATCATTTTGATACTACGATTGGAAATCTCTTTACTCTACTACTAATAGAATTTCTTTATACAGGTAATGATTACATCTACAATAATATTGACTATAAAGAAAAGTTAAAAAATCTACATTCATTGCAGGTATAATGATGTCTGATATTCCATTGAGCTATATTATATCCTATATACTTACTTAACAGGCTTACAGAACTATTTTAATATAGGAAGAGTGAATAAGCTAACCTACCATTACATAAAGTGGGTAAATTTCTTGAAGAATCGGATTGCTACTAGCAACAGACCAGTAGAAATCATAACAAAAGCTTAATAGCAAGGATGAATACAGAACTGAAAATATGTCATACCTATTTTAAATTAAATCACAGACTGGAAGACAACATTATTAACGAGAGCTTATAAGGATTACAGATCTATTACAAGCATATAAAAGCAATCAAATACTACGTATCCAGTCAACGCTCAAACGCATATTGGAGATAATGATACTGTTCAGAATTCAGTATCTTAAGCTAATGAATGAACTACGAGTACATTTCTTGCTAAGGAATGTTAAAACGATACTGTCAGTAGTTCGTACGAACTACCGTGAAGAAATAGCTATCTAAATTTGGCGAATATAATATAGTGATAATATATTACAATTAGTTACTTACAATAGGAATTACTCTAGTTATAAATGTGTTACAGTAAATTTAATGCTGTGTTGTAATGTGCACTGAAATGATTCTGTGAATGGACATGTTGTAGTTCGACTGTTAAAAATTAGTTAGTAGATGTTCTCACCTAAGTATTTTTATAAGATGACTCATGAATGTTAGCTGCTGTAGAAGGGTATATAAGCCGGCCAGATAGTTGAATAAAGTAGTTTTCAATTGTCTAATTGAGTTTAACGTAGAATCAAAGGCGTCTAAATTCTTGTGAGTAGGGATACTGAATCCGCAGATTTTTAAAGATTTAGAGATTTATTTTACGTTATCCTTGTCACGAAGCTGGTTTGTGACAGATACAGAAATCGCAGCGAATGTATTCACTATAACTAAGATTAATCTAACAATACTGAAGAGACTTTTGAATGCGAAGGAGTTATTAAATATAAAATTATCCAGTTGAGGCATCGGGTCTGTGCTTAATGCTGTCATATCAATGATTGCATCCATACAGAAAGGTAGAGATATTACGATCTGCAGTAATATCAAGCGAATAATCTCTACGATATTAATTTGATTCTCACGACTGCAAGTTAAACTTAAAAAATCTCCTTTATTTTCACCTTACCAACGAGCAACTTAATGACTTATTCAAATTTAACATAAGCCGAAATCTTCCCTTTTTCTCTATCGTATCTCCTTTTTATACCATTATAGTTAATACATCAATACTCTATAATTGTTAAGTTATTTTTAAGGTTAGTTAATAAAACCACGACAACACTAAATATGTTTTAACACATAATCTCACGACAGTAATTACCCCTAAAATGGTGAACATAACCAGTAATAATTCCTAATATGGAAATCAATTGAACATAACATTGGTCATCATTCGTTTTGACGTAGAATAAACAGGAGGTTTCTAAGTAAGGAGGAAGGAGATATTCGTATAAGTATATTAACAGTAGTTGGCAATAAAGAGAGGGCGAAGACAACTCCTGCTTCATAATAAATCACTTTGCAATTGGATGATAATTTTTCAACCTTGTCACAAGAATTTGAGAAATTTTACATTGTATTAGTAATGAGTAGTAACTCAAGATTTTAAAGTGTCCTTGGAGTAGTGGATTGCAGACATGTTTTAATATTTATTATGAAAAATAGAGGATATGTTGACGTCAGAAAGTAGGGAAAGCATCTGTTCGTGGATGCCCAATCCTGCGATTGACATCCTGCTGTTCATAACCGTGAACTACAAGTCTTTGCGATATTTATAGCATTAGATTTCTTCATTTTGAAATCATATATTTATAATCTCTTAAACATGTAGAATAAAGTTGAGGAGCTGACGTGATCATAGCGGTAAGAGTATTAGACAAAGAAGTTTAACTTATATGTATTGTACTACTATACCCTCTAGGTAGTGTAATCTATAATAAAATCAATCTGCTGGTTCATTAATGAGTAAAATGAGATAACTAACAATAATTAATAGATTAGTGGCTAGATATGGAGACAGCGATTAAAATACGCGTATATTTACATTTACTATCCAAGCATTTTAGATCTTCCACTTTCTTTATTAGCCATGGTATATTTCGTGGTAATAAAAGTTATATGATTCAGTACTTATGTAGGTAGTAACATAATATCATAAAACAGATTGCTTAGGAATAGTAATACTTTGGTGACTAATTTCTCATCAAATATAAATTCAAATGTGAAATATTTCTCAGTACAGTAATCAAATGTGATGTCAAAGTGTATAAACAAGAAATTCGTCGAATTAAGATAGCATCCTTTACCAAGTACAACGAATATTATAGCAGTCCAAACTTTAGAAAAGCAATCTGACATCACCGTTTACGGATATGCCTCTTACTGTTCTATTAATATTTAGATTATCATCAATGGAATATTTATTACTTTAAATCCAGTAATTATTTCACGTTATTATGTATAGAGATCCTGTATTTGATAAGTCATTAATTTCGCTTAAAGTAAATAAACTAAATTCTTTATCAAATGAATAAAATTATTCATAAATGCATTTTTAAGTAATAACTAGCCACTACCCATGGCAATAAAAGAATTACTGTGTCTCTCTATAGTCACGAGCGTGCGATTATCATAAATCATACTGTCATAAAATAGTTCAAATACCATGGTTTGTAGTCATAATTTTGTAACGAATTGCGTATAAATATAATTGATGTACGGATTCTGGTGAAATCTTATCAATTTTGCTATTTTTGAAATTAGCGAAAAAGCAAATTTTAATCAACTTCGATAACTAATCACACGTTCTAAAATGGCTAAAATCAACTCATCTCGGAAATTTTTATTTAATCTTACCCTAATCAATGTGAGTATTCATCTTGATAAATAGCACGGTATATAATAATAAGTTAAGAAACTATATAAAAAGTAACAATCTAAGTTCAATTACTGTTTGTGCAATAAAGCCTTCGTTACGATTCACAGAGAATGTCGTTAATTGAATTGTTTCAAACATTCTTTCGTACCTTACTTGTAACTGTATTACTTAATTTTGTTCTAAGTCATGCCAGGCAATACTTTATCTTATGGATTTAGTAAATGATCGTTTAGTATTTCTGTTAATTTATTAAATTTAAGACAGAGTGCCATACTTTTTTAAATCATAGTAACACAAATAAATTTGATTTTCCGATTCTCTCTTAGATGGTCTTAATGGCTACCAGACCGCAAGTAAATGCTACCGGTTAAGCTATAGTAATTCAAATCACTAAATTACATATTGTTACAACAATGCAGGAATTTAAGCGACTTTTCAGCTATAAACGGTTTGCTTATCAATCTAATGTTATCAGTAAAGGACTTACAATATTTTTAATACCCCATAGATCCTTGTATAGATTATACCGTAATATCAGACAAAAGTCGATCAATATTCGAGAATTTAGGCACTATTGGATGTGATAGGAACTTGACAAATTCTTGGTATCGATTTGATGGAGGCCAAAATAGTCAGATGATGCAAACCACTTGTATTGAACAAATCCCAAAATGTGGAACCCTCGGCCCTGGTTGGATGATAGGCAAACATCCTACAGGTAAGTATTATCATATTTGGTAGGACTTACGTTATGTAGATTATATCTATCAGTGCCTTTTCTCTTGTAATATACTGTAGCTTCATGAAGCCATAATGATGACTGTATTGGCAATTGCTGTATAAATCTTATATTTAAATGGGTTTGAAGAAATGAGAACATTGTAAACATTTAGTTCTTGTAGTTTTGAAAATATCGGAAGCACAACGTGTTGATAACGATTTTGAAACTTTCTTACAAAACTTATCTTCTTCTTAAAATCAATTGATTTTTAGTTGGTGATCGAGTCGTCAACAGAACAGTTTGTTTTTATAGCTATGATGATTGTTGCTTTGGAAGATTAAGTATTCAAGTTCAAAATTGTCGACAATTTTTCGTCTATCGCCTGCCCTCAACCATTAATTTGTTAGTTTGTGCTGGCTATTGCACGACTAAAAAGGGTAATTAGACAAGCTTCATGAATATGAAATATAGAATAATAACGATAGCTGAAATTCTGCTTTCAGAGACCTAAAATTCTAATTTATCATTAGTATAAGTAATAATTTAGATATTACTTTAATATTTGATATTATCAGATCCTTGTAATCCCAATCCATGTGTAAATGACGGCGAATGTAGAAAAGCGAACGGAGCATATCAATGCAAATGCCAGCATGATTTTACAGGAAAAAATTGCGAAAATAGTTAGTATAGCAAGTTGAAACATTTCAATAGTAGTATAGTTAAAACTTAAATAATATTGCAAGTAGATGAAAAAGAAATATATAACCTTACGATGACTAAATTTTAGATGTAAATCCATGTAAAGCTAATCCTTGCCGCTATGGTAATTGCTCAGTAGCTGGAAACGATTACAAGTGTACATGTTTTTCTGGATATACAGGAGAAAACTGCGATCAGGGTCAGGCTCCGTTTCAATAATTCTCATGATATTGCCTCAGATGCCAGAGTATATAATTTTAGTATGAAGACAAAAAGAGTTCTACAATCTCCATTCTTTCAGTTTACTACAAAGTTTAAAATCACGCAATATAGGATAGATTATAACTGATATGGACCAACATTGTTTCTTTGGTAAAAAAAGATATTAATAAGGTTTACTTCTATTAGGATGTGTTTATTTCGCTTCTCAGTTTGTACTATGCACCGCCATTATCACTTGATATATCACTAGATATAAGAACTTACAACTCTAAGTAGTAATATTCAGAATTCGATCACTGTCTTAAAGTACATTTCTCCTTTTAATGTGTATGTAACTTTGATCAGTATTATTAACTTAGTATTCTATCTTTTTGACGTCTTAGATATCGATGAGTGTACGACGAAACTTCATGACTGCCAAGAAATTTGTGGGAATACTCGTGGTAGCTATCGTTGTTCATGCCGCAGAGGAAATATTTTATTATCAGATCAGATATCTTGTTTCAGTAAGTGTATCTATTTGTATTGCTATAATAATCAAAGCGATATTAAGAAGTCAAAATCCTTTACAAAGGTTATTTGCAGATAGAATTGAAAGTCATGTAATGTAGTTTAAGACAATTATTTACCAAAGACCATTCTGCTATGATCGCTAGATCCTTGCAGAAGTGCAATTCATCTAACAGATACTTCAAGATCAATCTATGCCTCGACTTATCGCCTTACATGTGATCAATCTTTTCTTAATGGGTCTTGGTATCGCTTTAATGGTGGTCCAAAAAGCCAAATGATGTTGACTAGTCGAGTGAGCATGGTTAATTGCGGAACGGTATCGCCGGGGTGGCTAGTAGATAATCATCCAACTAGTAGGTTTATATCCATTAAATGCATTGCTTGAGTTTTATTAATCATTTCAAGCTGTAACAATATTGTTAGCGCTGCATATTAATTTTTACATTTCTTGATAATAGTGCAGGAAGGTATCATTTCAGCGCGTGTCTGCTTCATTTGGGGCATCAATACCTGCAAATGGAATCAAACTATTCATATTAGAAATTGTGGCTCTCATTTTGTTTATAAATTACCGCCACCATCGACTTGCTACTTACGTTATTGTAGTGATAAGCGCAGTAAGTGCTATATTCTTACGTTCTATATTCCCTTTTGCTGTCATGACTTTATCATCAACCTTTTAACTGAGTCTATTTTATCATAATTCATTGTAAGATTAGCTATAACTGTCATTGCAGCCACGATTTCAAAAGTTATTGATTTTGTTCCGGTAGTTTCAACTTGGTTTCTGTCATTGTTTGTGATATATTGTAGCCAATATATTGGATAGTTTTAATGGCTTATTACTAAACAATAATATTTTACTGGTACGACAGTCATCCTTTAATGTGATAGAGTATTTTTATCATAAATTATTGTTTTATTGTACGCAAACTTAAGATAGGTACGGTATTAAAAATTGTTCTTGTAATAATAGTTAAGCTATTAATGATCTTATGTTAGCTTTCTTCTCTCTTCATTCAAGCTTATTGCGATCCTGATCCTTGTGTTAATGGTACTTGCCAGACTACTGATGTTGGATTTCGCTGTCACTGTCAACAAGGATATCGAGGGATGTTATGCCAGCATGGTAATAAGAATTTCAGTTATATTCATGAGCTGTTGTATGGTACTAGTCATAAAATCCGTCCCTCTACTGACGGTTAACGTCTGTAGAATTTAGTTTCGTAAGCTATAGAAAACGATATAACTAATGCATAGATATTTTAACCGTAACATGGAAAAAAACAGATTATAATTATAAATTCAAAGGCTTGATGGTACGATATTGCATGAGTACTTTATTCGATGTAAAATGAAGATAAACAGGTCTCATTGCTAGCGCATATAATTAAAATATACTAATCCAACTAATAGAAATTGATGAATGTGCTTCCAACCCTTGTCAACATGGTCGTTGTATCAACACAGACGGCAGCTATCGTTGTGAGTGCCACATAGGATTTACTGGTCAAAATTGCGATACAGGTGGGATATATGTTGATCTCTTCTTTCTTAATCTAATTAATTTTTAATTCAACGCTGTAACAAAGCCGACGGTTCTTTTACGAAATTAACATCACCACTCGGATTGATTTGAAAGCTTGCGTAAAAAGAAAATAGTTGCATTTAACTGGTTAAGTATTTTATATATTCGCAGATATTAATGAATGTGACTATGCCAATGGTAACTGCTCCCAAAATTGCATTAACTTACCAGGAAGTTATCACTGTCAGTGTCGATTAGGTTTTATACTTGAGCCAAATGGTCGAGAGTGTATAGGTAAATGGTTTCTTCTAACTGCTAAAGATACTATAAGATCGGCATATTTCGTTCATAATTTACGTTTTCATCACGGTTTTAGCCTAACACTATTTTTCCGATTAGCTCGAACGTAGTACGCTGTGCTAAAATTAAAAGTACCTAAAAGGATCGAAGAATTGGATGCTTTATATTCCATTCAAATGCTTAATTACCTCAAAATATCATTCTGATAGTCTATCCTAATAGAATAGTAATTTCGAAGCATGCTACTCGTTTACGGCAATAAGTTACGATTTATCATACCTTAATATTGAAGTAGTTCTGCAGCTGTGAATTATATAATTTTACCATTTAGTTTTGATGGTCTATTCCATTCTTGAGAAAAGAAAATATTCAGATTTATCGTGTAGCAAATGTTGTTGAAGGGATTTCTTATATTTTTAGTATTATAATTGTACATGCAAATGCTATAACTAAATTGTAAGAAATAGATTTCGATTGACTTACGTGGTTTCACTGTAACGGTTATTCATAATTTTACTTTTTACCCAAATCCCATTATTTTCATTTTCATTATGACATAGACCCGTGCATGAACTTCTTTTGGTTAAGAAATACTTCAAGATGGCTATCTAATCGTAATGCAGATCCACTCTATTGCGATAAACATACTTTAAAAGCAAACTGGTATCGTATTAGTAGTACTTCTAAAGATATGATGTTGCCCAATCAATGTACTCCAGTTTTGCGATGCCAAACTCTCTCTACTGGTTGGCTCAACGGCACCCATCCAAGAGGTATTGCCTTTTATCGAGAAAGGAATAGAAATATAGCCGTATAATAATATTAAAATAGATAATCATATGTAATAGTTATTGACTAAACTATCATTTCTTTTTGAATTATTCGATGGTTACCGATACTGAATAATTAGTTCGCGATGGTGTAGTAAATAAAACAGTTTGTTTTAATTATAATGGAAATTGTTGCTACATGTCTAATACAATTATGGTCAAAAATTGTATTAGTTACTTTGTCTACTACCTAACGCCGACCATGACATGTAGTCCTGAAACAAGATACTGTACTACCGATTTCGGTAAGTAAATCTCTATGCTATATAGTTTCTTTAGCTACCTTCTTGCCAATTTTCTCATTTTATTTCGTTTCCGTGGTTCATATTTATGTGATCCTGACTTCATGATTATGATTTATGTATCACTGACTATATTGGCTATAGAATTTGTTGTTTAATTCCCATCAACTGAGAAGTTTATCCTATATTAACAGACGTATGTGATCCTAATCCTTGCTTTCATGGAGACTGCGTGAATGTTCGATCAGATCAGTATAGATGTCGTTGTAAATCTGGCTTTACTGGAAAACATTGCGAAACAGGTACGGTAATCAGCAGTGAATGATAAAATTTAAATAATTAATAATATACAAGCATGATAGAGTTAAAATTAGCGAATCACTTCTTTATTTAATTACTTCATCATTTCCTACGATGATATTCATGTATCACATTTTTTTGTGACTACTGATTCTTCGTACTATATAGGAAAAGTGCTATCCAAGCATTTTATTCCTTGAAATTTAAAATGATTTTAGATAGATTTGCAAATCTTGATATAGTGCCAATAATAAAAGAAACTAATACGAATAGCAGCGATTTGATTCCTATTAAATCAATTTTCTTCATATCTCTCCACCTGTAGCTATCAATGAATGTTCCTCTAATCCATGCGTTAGAGGTCGATGCGTAGATAGTATAGGAAAATATCGTTGTATTTGTGATACTGGAATGACAGGAGTCCACTGTGATCAAGGTAGAGATGCAATTACTATAAAAAACTTCAATAAAATAGAAAATTAGATTTAGACATTTAGTAACACTATTAATTACGTTGATAAGATATGCTGATGAAGCGCTAAGGTAGCCTAATCAATGTAATCAATGCAATCAATGCAAGTAATGAAGTAAAATGTAGATGAGTAAGCAATAATGATACTTTCTTTATGATTTTTCTAGATGTTAATGAATGCTTGTTAAGCAATGGCGGCTGCGATGGAGCTTGTCATAACCAATATGCAAGCTATTATTGCTCTTGTCCAGTGCATCAAGATTTAGATTCGGATAATCGTACTTGTATAGGTTATAATATAATCTTGAAAAATTTTAATCTAGGAATTCGAATGTATATATGCATAGATAATGTTTGCAGTAGTATCCTATTTTATCCGGATGTTAATAATCAAAATATTTATTATTATGCTAAAAGATCCCTGTAATACCCAGACTTCTTCGTTAGTGGATTCTATTAGTGAAAAAATGACGATTTTTCTGAGTTACTCCATTGTCAGCAAATGTCAAAAAGTTAGCTTACTCGCAAAATCTCCAAAGAAATGGTATCGTGCTAGTCTAGCTTCAAATTGCTCGGCAATCGCCAGATGGACCGGCCATGATCAGGGTAATCCTAGATTAGCATCATAGAAACGTTATACGTGACGTTCCTTTATCGTAAGACATCGTAGCTTATTTATAAGTTGTTCGAGCCGTTGTTTGTATTATTCTGTATGTGATTCGAAATGCTAAACCGTGTTATAATGGCCTAGAAACAATACTACAATTAATCAAAGGCATCTATATTTGAATCACAAAATTATATATATTCTGTCGAAAGCAATGACTGCTTTAAATGTTGTTCCGATCACCTTTACCATTTTACAATAATAATCGAAAATAATTCCAATTGTGAGACCGTATTATAAGTCAAAATCGACGGTAATGTTCATTTATAATTAAATGCAAGTATAAACGTCTGATATTGCACTAAAATGATTGCTTCCACGTCAACTATGGTGATTTATTATTTTATTCCTACAATTCTTAAGTTAACTCTAATCATTAAACTACGTTGTGATAGAAAAAGTTACCATTAATGGGTATACTTAATTCAAATAGGTGACGAGTACTTACAAATTGCTAAACGCAACGCCTGCTTTCATTTTGGGTTGCAACATTGTGCTATGACACTTCCTGTACGAGTTAAACATTGCCGTGGATATTATATGTATAAGATCGATAGACTATCTGCATGCTATCTGAATTTTTGTAGCCGAATACAAGGTAAAAGAATGTCTTTCATTGAAATTATAGCAGAATCGTCATTATTGGACATTAGAAAATAAATTGCATTATACTAGATAACTGTGATTCAAGTCCCTGTCAGAATGGTGTTTGCGTGTCAACACAAAACGGCTACGAATGTCGATGTAAACCCGGTTATCATGGAGTTCATTGTGAAGTTGGTAAGAAATTCCCATGCGAAGGATATAGCAGTCAGTACTACTTGCATTTTGTAAATCGAGTCTTTATAAGTCAAAATTAGTTGTTTCACGCTTTTACGTATATGTCTATGATATTTTACTTACAAGTTCAAATTTATAATTATAAATTTTATAACTTAACGTCCTTTAAGCATTAAGCTAGATTTTAGGCTAGCAAATTAGCCGCATTATGTATATCTGTATGACAGTATTCTTGCATATTTACGTCATTTATGTTCATCTTTATGATGTTATACTTACAAATTTGTATCTCAAGAAAGCCATAGATTGCTAATTTAAATCTTTATTAGTCATAGTGCGAGTTACATATGCGAATAAGTTTCATTTGTATATTGGTAGCACTGCATTTATGTAATCATATTGTCATTCTCGTAGACGTTTGCAGTTTAAATCCTTGTTATAATGGCCGATGTACTGTAACGGAATCTGGGAATTACAACTGCATATGTCGCGAAGGTTATTCTGGTAAACAATGTGAAACAGGTACATCAATGGATGCAATATATGTATAAATATCTTCCCGCCGTAAACATAAATTAGATTAATTGCAAACTGCCAAGCTTCGGCTAGGCTATTTCATGTTAGTAACCAATGTAAATTTTTCCATTCTGCTGTAGCCATATGCTATACTAAACCAAGGTCGTGCCTAGATCTCATTAAAAGGCAAAAATCGTATTTACCTAGCGGGTATTATCAAATTTACGATAAAAATGGCTGCCAACAGGGCCATATGACAGCTCAAGGATTATTAGTATACTGTGATTTTGAATCAGAACCAGGCTATGCTTGGACATTAATAGAATCTTTCTCCCGTTTCAACGCTCAAATAAGTCAAATTAATAAAGGATTTGCGTATAGTGACGGCTTCAACTCTGATTCACCACGTTATCGTTGGCAGGGCTACCGTATGACCTTAGATCAAATGTGGCAGTTATACCAGGTTAATAGACGATTAACAGTAAAACCAATGTGGCGAGCAACCTGTAATTTTAATCCTAATGACGATCGGAATCATTACCCTAAAACGGATTATCTTCGTGGTTTATTTGATATCCTAAATATATTAAAATATAACAGCCTTGGCGATTGCTACTTAGTAGATTCAGTTAATATTCGTAGTTTTGGTTGTCGGCAATGTATGGTTCCATTTTGGTCTAGCAACGATGTTCACCTTCATATTGATTCATCTCGTCAGTGCTGTACTCGCCATTTCTATGATAGCGTGGAAAGTGAAGATAATTTTGGCTACTACCATCCTTATAGCACAGCATTTAGTTGTACAGCTACTTTTAACAGTACAACCAATTGGTGGATTGGTGGAAAGATACATGATAATGACGATCTGGCTAGTAGGCCAACTATTCTTTAACATCATAACCTTCCACAGAACCATAAGATTCTTCATGATATTTATAAAGACTAAGAAATACATAAATTATGTAATCATCTAATAGCTATGTAGCTCTACAATCTATAGAGTTGGTAGATCATGCTACCGCACTTAAATGAAAATTTGTTACCCCGTACTGTATCTTCAATATTATAGCAATAAATAGAACTGTGATGGATTTCACTTTAATAGATGGTATAAGACATTATCACAATGAAAGTATTTTTACAAACACTTTTGAATAAAATAGTGTGTTTGGTACAACGTTGTTACTTTGAATCTTAAATATTATAATAAACATGTCTTTGATTATGAATAAGTAATTTGACTTTACGCCTATTGTCACACACCACTAGTGACACAGTAGTCTACACACGCCATTCCTTGCGGAGAACGCCACTTACTAACTTAAAGAGGCGAGATTAGCTATATCACCAAATAATTCAGTTCCAACGACCGAATACTATGGTATAATTATAGCGTCACAGATAGTGTAGACGAGAAAGTCAGAGATTTACTATCATTTAATACTGAAGAAATCTCGGCACCCAAGATTATAGTCTTTACAATTAAATATCAATTGAAAAACTAGTTGACTATCTAACCGACTAACTAACTAAAAAGGAATCTTCACCTATGTATAACCTTCAATGATTGTTCTTGCTTTCTCAAGTTATGGCACCCTGTACGAATTACGCGCAATATTTATGAAAGAGACGTGAAAAATAAAATTTCATCTACTACTTGTAGCACATGTTAATTAAGATATTGCTATCGTACATCAATGGGAAAATAGAATGAAATAATTGAATATTTAATTAAGCCAAGAGTATCTTCTAAGGCTTTAGTTTATAAATTTTTCATAATAATAAAGGATCATTTCAAGTGGATTAATGCAATGACAGGTAAACGAAAGATATCGCCGTGCATAATAAGCTTGCGTTTAATACATCGTCATGATTCAGTTAATTACAGTAGTAACAGGAAGTGCGGTAGCACCAGTTGCATCACTGTAGTGTATTTAGATTTCACTGCAATCTTTAACATCTCTACCATCCCTACACATTAAAAAGGCACTATAGCCTTACATACCTATAGCTAATTTAGATTGCTATAACAAATTAAGAGTCTTGATTTTTGTTATTATTAGCACAGTGAGCTTTGTCTTATCGATTTATTTTGATTAATTTGTTTTAGTAAAAGGGGAAAATATAAATTATTCCCTAATAGCGTAAACAACAATCGCACAGTTTTGAATTGATATTACTGCTGCTATTCAAGCTATTTATAAATGATTTTTTTCTTGCACAGGCATTCCGAGTAAACAAATGTAGTTTTCACAGCCAGAAACATTGATAGGCTACCGGCTTTTCTATAAGTAATTAACCTATTATTGCAATTGCTATTTATGATATATAGCTTGAATGATACAACTATGAAAGTTAACAGCAATGTTTATCCTATTCGCGCAACAGCCTATTGTCGTTTCAGTATCAGTCGCTTTAGGATTTTAGTAATTATTTTGTAGTTAAGAGTTAAGTGTGTAGCCTTTAGTACTGTAGTCAAGATTGGTGTTCAATTTAGCGGCAGGAGTAACTGCAAGTATCGCTTCTCAAAATGTTAACTATCAAATTCCAAATTCTGATGGTAAAGATAAGGATATTAAGATAAAAATTGTCCAAACAAATACTTAACCCACTAAATAAAACTCTAATTCTTATATTCTATGGCAAAGAGTATTATCTATTTCCTTAATATATTCATCCAAAAATAATATAAAATAATTAGATACGAGCTAATTTTAGTCAATTTTTTTCATACCATTTTCTGAAGAAACGTATGCATTTTTTCTCGTTGGTATATAATTTGCCATTATACACAAGGCCAATTTGCTTAATTTAGATGCTCGACAGAAAAAATTGTAATAACTAGTCTATTATACTGCTGTAAAGTAATATTAATTAATATCGTAATGTGAGTTATTTATTATAAATATCCCCTTTAACAAAAAATTGTGGAATCAGTCAATGCTGTACATTAGATCCCGACAGTATTCATTCGGCATTAAATCGAGATTTATGATTAATATAAACTACATAAGCCGATCAAATATCAAAATAAACACGTTGATACAAAGTTGAAGTTGAAGTAGAACGGTAAGAATATAATAATTCACAGTTACCTTATATATTTGCATTAGTGTTATGAATTTGAAAGGTACAGTTTTCTAGGCTTAATTATATTGTTGAATTTATTTTAAATTTGATGCATCGGTTTCTTATTTTATACTAAATAAGTATTTGGATTTAGAATATTTCCATCCTAGGCGAAATCGTAATTTTTACTGAATAGAATATTTTATTTTTAATTGCTATACCGAATTAAGAGTCTTGATTCCTGTTATTCGTGACACAGTGAGTCTTAGCAATTTATTTAAATTAACTTTTCTAGTAAAAAAGGGAAAAATATAAAGAGTTATTAGTAAATAACTTAAACAACAACCATATCGGGTTGAATAGATTCTTTTAAATAAATATTACTGTAGAAAGCCAAGTTATTTATGAATGATTCTCCTCTCTTGCACGAGCATTCCTAGTAAGTGAAATTTGCTCGGTATTAATCCGATAGCAAATAAAAATAAAAAAATAGCTTGCATATCCATGACGTATAGTTTATACGAGTATAATCAGAGGCGTTGATAGACCATACTGGCCCTTTTACGAGCAATCTAATTATTATACTTACTATCTATGATGTCTTATTTAAATAAACAATAAAATTATTCGAAAGTAAAGAACCATGCTTGTAATATTCGCGCAACGACCTTTGAGCTGCCGATTCCTTTCGTACCTATTGCTATGTTATATATATATATGCTTTAAACTGTTCTGAACTACCGATTCTTTACGCGATCGACCGTAGATATTCTTTCATTTTGCTTTAAAAATTTTTGAATAGTTTTGTTATCGAGAGCTCATTGTGTTAATATTAGTAAGTATTACAGCCTAATTTGGTAACAGATGTAACTGGAAATATCGCATCTCAAAATGCTGATTGTAATCAAATTTCGATTTCTAATAGTAAGGACAAGTATAATACTAAAATTAAATATTCGCCAATAAATACTGAATGTGCTAAATATGATATAGAGGTTATTTTTTTCTTATGATTTAATGTATGAAATTTGTTTGCGAATTTGATAGCATTGCAAATAATTAATATTATAGTCGATCTTATTTTATATTCACTAAACGACGTTTTCAAATATCAGCTTTAATTTATACAGGATTAATAAAAATTGATATATGTCATATTTTACTCTGTCATGAAGACTCTTCAATGTAGAGTTTCTATTAATCGAAGTAATGGTTACGTGAGCAATATGACGCTTTTGATATGTTCCGCAGCTACTTTAAAACGTATTATATTTGTCTTATTCTAAAATCTCTTTTCTTTAGGTTGCATGTGTAGCTTTATTTTCTACATTATCAAAAGCATCAGGTACTTCTATATCTTTAAGCATATTTATTATTTTAGGTTCATATCCACTCATTATATGCTAACTTTATGAATTATAATGTGATATACATCAAACTCTAATAATTTTGGTTTTGTAAGTAACGCCTATAACAAAAAATATCAGTAGCTGCTGTTTAATTGATCGTTTTTACTCTATAGAACCTTGTCAAAGTTACCAGACTTTATCGGATATCGATCGTTCTGTTCTGTCAACAACTGCTGCCAATGCACTTACCTTTCGATGCGATAAAGGGCTAAATAATGACTGGTATCGAATTTCTGGAGGGAGTCTAAGTCAAAGGATACAGAGCAGTTGTGTTACCAGCGGCAGAAAATGTTTAACGCTGTCTGTTGGATGGATGTCGGGGAGTCATCCAAAAGGTATCTGAAAGACAATTCTTTCCTAATTTGAATTGCAATTTACCTTTTTGATCTATTTAAAACAAAATCGAATCATATCGTAATAGATTGAGTTAGTCTATACTATCTTAAAGTACATCCTTTATCATTTGAATTGCAATTTGTGTTTTTGATCTATTTAAAACAAAATCTATTTGTATTGTAATGGATTGAG